GGTACAAGCCAGACACAGAGGCCCAGCGCCTCTAAGACCCAGCACTGGAGAGGTGGAGGCAAGAGGATCAGGATTTCTAGGCCATCTTGGGCTACATAAGAGACTCTCACCTGCCCCCAAGAACAAGGACAAACAAAAATTCCACCTGTCACTTCCTTGGATCACTTTATTGCCTTTCTGTGCTTCAAACCCCGCCCCCCCCCAGCCGTGTGTGTGTGTGTGTTTGAGAGAGAGAGAGAGAGAGAGAGAGAGTTTTGAGACAGGGTCACCCTGTGTCTCTTTGCTTTTTAAAGCAGCTGCCATGCCTGCACCAACACACCTGCGTTCCCCTTCAGTTAAAAAGGAGTTGGCTATGTGAAACAAGAGCTTTGCCACCTGGCATATGGCAAACGCCCGCCACACACAAGTGGCCACGCAAGGGCAGATGCATATTCATAACCGCAACAGCCGTCCCTTGTCACCAGATCTTAGCCTCTGACTGCCACAATTCATCACGCCCAGGTCCTCCCCCATGCTCTCCGACCCACCAGCCTGCCCCTTAGGGATTGCCCTGTCCTCAGCCCTCCAGGAAGGAGCTGATGCAAGATACCCAGGGTATTAAATGGTGCAGGGGGTGGAGCTGAGGCCTGGTATGACCCTGTCTTTGCCTGCCTCTCAAAAGCCCAGTTTTTTTTTTTTTCCCTAACCCACAATCCCTTGGTTCTGAAACACCAGCTTCCTGGGGGCCAGAAGAGGCCAGCTGAGACTCCCACATCCTAGAAAGGTGTGCTGGCCTGTTGGTGTTGAACTGTCTTGTCCTCCAGCTACTCTGGGGGTTGAAAGATCACAAGCCTGAGGCAAAGCGTGGGCTTACCGCAGTTTAAGGCCAGCCTGTTCGACTTAGCAAGACCCTGTCTCAAAAAATTAAAAAGAGGGCTGAGAATGGAGTTCAGTGGTAGAGAGTGGGCAAGGTCCTTGGGTTCTGTCTCTATTACAGCAAAAATAAATGAATTAGAGGATGCAAGGGAGTGTTTGGTATGGCTCAGGGTCTTAAAGTACTTTTGTTGCCAAACCTGATGGACTGGGTTTGATCTCTTGAGTCCCACACAGTCGATGGAGAAAAGTTACATATAGGGTAGGGTGCGTGTGTGTTGTAAGGAATGTGATTGTAATCCTAAGACTTGGTAGGTAGATGCAGGAGAATCAGAAGTTTAAAGTCACCTTCAAGCTGCATATTATGTTTGAGGCCATGGGACACTTTTTGTTTGTTTTTCGAGACAGGGTTTCTCTGTGGCTTTGGAGGCTGTCCAGGAACTCGCTCTTGTAGACCAGGCTGGTCTCGAACTCACAGAGATCATGGGACACTTTCTTAAACAAGAGATTCCCATCACCCTCCAAGAGGCTAGCCCTGTCGCTCTCCCGTCTGCCCCCACCCTACCCTCCCACGACAGCACCTAACATCAATGTCTGTTTCTGCAGGAATATTTTCCCCTCCAATCTGGTGTCTGCTGCATTCCGCTCTGTGAGTCCTCTGGGGTGTGCTAAGGGACTAGTGGTGGTGGTGGGGGGGTGGACTTAGAGAAAAGGAAAACGGGTGTAGCAACTTGCCAAGGGGGCTTTTGGGTTTAAAAAGAGACTCATCCATGCCTTTCCCATTAAGAGGTGAGACTCTGGGGGCCTGGCCAGATGGCAGTGGGAGCCTGAAAACCTGATTTTGATTCCTGGAACAAACAGTTGTCCCCTGACCTCCAAACACACTGTGGGTTTTGTGTGTGTGTGTGTGTGTGTGTGTGTGTGTGTGTGCACATGTGGACACACACACAATTAAATTTTAAAGAAATGAGAATATAGGAAAGTCTTTGGTGGAGTCTGTAATACTAGCTTGGGAAGGCTGAGGTAAGAGGATAGCGAGTCCAGGCGACACAAGGAAACAGTGTCTGGGGAGGGGAGGGG